GCTCCCAGTCGCTTCTCCGCAAGTGCTGCCGCGGAGGCCTCGGGCGGTGTTTCTGCGGCCCGGGTGGGTGCCAGGGAGGGAGCCTGATTCCAGAGCCTTGGGGGAGCCCCCCCCCCAACCTCTCCTCCCGACCTCCCAGGGGCTTCCCGAGTTAATTGAGCCCGTGAGCTCCCCACCCCTCAGGCTGCAGGGCGACGTGCCACCCCTCCCCCACCCCGCGAGGCCGAAAATAGCGGCGTCGGTCGGGCCTGCGCCCGGGAGCCTAGAACCAGGGCCCTCGGGGCCCTGTCGTTTGGGTCGTTACTCGGGACAGCGGAACCCTCCAGCGAGCCCACGCAAACAGCGGGGCGGGGGCGGGGAGGAGGCCGGGCGGGCGGGCCAGTTGGCCTGCGTCTACGTGCGTAATCTCGACCCCCGAGTCGAGCGGGGGGAGGGCGCTCCCCTAGCACTGCACCCATGGTTTCCCCGAGTTCCGTGGTCCCCAAACTCAACCTGGTACCCAAAGCCCCGGTACCTATCATCGTGTCTGGTGCTGTGCTTTGAGCGAGTGTCTGCACAGTACCCTCCATCCCGGTAGGTTTCCTCTCGGATATGGGGGATGTTGCTCTTGATACTCCTACCTTTGACTAGGATCCGGGTTGTTGACCCACAGCCGGCGCTCCTTCCCTTTTGAGGACCCCCAATTAATTAAGTGGTTTGGTTGATTGGGTGTCACTTTATCGTAACGGTTGTGAGCGCTACCGTGGTTGCCAGGGGTTGGGATTTGGCTTTTCTTCTTAAAAGTGTTCCGATTGGTTGTGACTTCATACCTTTTGCTTAGCAGCTGCTGGCTTGTCCCTTGCCCCCGGGAAGTTGGGGGTGGTGTTGGGAGGTGAGTGGTTTTGAGGAACACACTCCAGCAGGAAGGCCCTGGGGGAGGGTGTCCAGGAAAGTGGCTAGGACACAGCAGTTGATGGTTTGGGTATGAAGGAAATCGCTGACTTTTTGTACTTAATTCTTTAGGTCCTGCCCTTTGAGGTAGGGGTGCTCCCTCCCTCCTTAGAGGTTTTGGGGTGCATTCTGGAACTCGGTTCCTTTTCCTTCTCTTCTGTGCCCTAGTGCATCCTCCCAGCTATTGGTGGTTCCTCTGCTTTGCCTCTCCCTCCACTCTGCCTGGCCTTGGGTAGCTTCCTGTGGTCCTTTGCCCTCACGTTGAGGGGGAGCAGGTGGGGAAGGGAAGAGAAGAGCATGCATGTGTTGCCACAGGCATCTGGTGGCCAGGAAAGCTAACTGCTGGCATTGGTGCCTGAGGCTTAAGAGGTAGGCTGGGGGGGTGGGCCAAAGGAAAAGAGTTCTAGAAAGGTGTGTTTAGTTAGGGGAGAGACCAGGAAAGGCAGGAGCAATCCCTGTTAAGTTTGAGCCTCAAGAGGTGTGAGTTTATCAAGTGACTAGTTGGAGTTCAACAAGAGCAGGTGATTTTGAGATTTGAAAAGAGGTTACGGTATTTAATGGTAGCAAGTGCAGCCTGGGCGAACTGCAAATAAGGTGGGCACTTAGTGGGAAGAAAGAGGAAGAGTAAGGTAGGCATCAGGGTAGTTAGCAAGAGAGTGCTTAAGCATTTGGAACCCAAGGTGAAGTGTGAGGTTCCATGGTGTCTGGCATGTGACAGGCCGGCCACTTGATCAAGTGGGGGGGGCGGCGTCTGGTCCCCTGTGTATTCATGCAGTGTCCTGAGAGGCTGTGTCTTAGAGATGGAGTCTTAGGACTGGAACTACAGGCCTTTGAAGCCTATAGTTCTGTCTGTTTTGGGTCCTGTACCCAGTGCTTAAGATGAGGACACTTAAGCATCTTGAGGCTAAAGGAGACACAGATAAAGGGAACATTGTTGAGATTTGTGAGAAGTGCAGGCCCTGGCTGTCTGGGGTGGAAGCAGCTGGAGCCTGGGATGGCTCTGAGACTCTGGGCTGGGTTGGGTACACAAAAGAGTGGGGGAGACCTGGTGAGGGGGGACCAGCAGGAGGGACATAGCTAGGAGGAGGAGACTTAGAGCAGAGAGTCTGTGGTGCTTAGTGTGGAGCCAGGGCCTGACCCGTGTCTCCGGCTCCCCCCCAGGAGCGGTGGTGCCCCCAGGGCACGGGGCCATGTACAACGGGATCGGGCTGCCGACGCCCCGGGGCAGCGGCACCAACGGCTACGTCCAGCGCAACCTGTCCCTGGTTCGGGGCCGCCGCGGTGAGCGGCCTGACTACAAGGGCGAGGAGGAACTGCGGCGCCTGGAGGCTGCCCTGGTGAAGCGGCCTAATCCTGACATCCTGGACCACGAGCGCAAGCGGCGCGTGGAGCTGCGATGCCTCGAGCTGGAGGAAATGATGGAAGAGCAGGGGTGAGGGAGGGCCGGGGAGAGGCAAGCGCTGAGGGAAAGGAGCTGTTAGTGGGGAGGAAGTTGAGGTGTGCGAGATGTGAACGGAGTTAAGGGACAGTTGCAGGTTGGAGATAGGAAACAATTGGGGACTTTTTACCTAGCTAGAGACCCATGGGGCTAGGGTAGCAGTGAGGAACAGTACTCTTTAAGGGTGAGGTGGAATCGCAGGCCTAGGTAAGCTGATAGCTATTGGAAAGAAGCTCAGACTTGAGGCAAAGCCTGGGAAGGCTGCCCTAGTGAGGGGTGGGCTGGACAGGGAAGCCACTTGTGGAAAAGCAGCCCGGCCAGGCAGAAACCTTTCAGAGCAGTGGTTTCCAAACTCTAGCCGGGGCGTCCCCTTTACGGAACACACCTGCCTTTGGAATTCAATTCAGTCAAAAACTCTTGGGCTTGAGGTTGGCGAGGAGCACCTGGAATCTGCCTGCTTGCTTCCCTCTGTTGGCCCCTGAAGTGTAGCATGTTTACAACTCGCTGTTCTAGAAGGGAGAGAGGCGATGGGGAAAGAGCAGGAGGGCTGATGAGAAGGGCCTCTGGGTGATAGTGAAAGCTTTGTGTGCATGGAGAGGGAAGGTCACTTGAGAATGCAGGAAACACCTGCTTGGGGCTGGCAGAGGGTCTCATCAGGCTCTGATCCCGAGGACTTTGTCCTTCAGGTACGAGGAACAGCAAATTCAGGAAAAAGTGGCGACCTTTCGACTCATGCTGCTGGAGAAGGATGTGAACCCGGGGGGCAAGGAGGAGGCTCCAGGGCAGAGGCCTGTGTGAGTTTTTGCCCTCCCCCTGCTTCCTCTGAACTTTGTTGCTGCTGTTTCTGCTATGTCTACTCTTATTTGGGACCTCTTTGCTTTCCCAGACCGATCAGGCCCCTGCTGTCCTGGATACATGATCTTTCCTTTGGCTTACCCTTTATTCCCAGGCTCCTTTAGACCATGGTCCTTTTCTCTGTAGTGTAACTGAGACCCACCAGTTGGCTGAATTGAATGAGAAGAAGAATGAGCGGCTGCGGGCTGCCTTTGGCATTAGTGATTCTTATGTGGATGGCAGTTCCTTTGACCCCCAGCGTCGAGCTCGGGAGGCTAAACAGCCAGCTCCAGAGCCCCCCAAACCTTACAGGTATGGCAGGCCCAGAGATGGGTGCATAGACTGTGCACCCTCTTCTACGTATGTTTCATTCTTGTGAAGTCTAAACTCGGGGTTAAGGAGTCTTATTCTGGCATTCGTTGCAGCTACATTTCCTCTCTTCCTAGCCTTGTCCGGGAGTCCAGCAGTTCTCGCTCACCAACCCCAAAGCAGAAGAAGAAGAAAAAGAAGAAAGACAGAGGACGGTGAGTCCATTAGAAAGGCGCTGTGGTAGCCAGGACAGATTCTGGGGTGCACACGAGCTCCCTGGATATTGAGGACTCTTGCTTCCAGGAAGCAGTGAGTGTCAGATCCCCCTCATGAGAGTGGTGTGTGTCGACAGCTTCAGTGGGGAAGGATTGCTTTTGGTTAGCAGGGATTCCCCTGTCAGGCTGTGAATTTAAGGAGCTATTTGTGCATCTTAAAGAGAGTAAAGGAACTCCTGGACTTAGAACTGGGCATTGGTGGTATGGTAGGGTTAGGTGGATTGTTGTTTCAGAAGGGCCAGCAAAGAAGCTGTATGGAATGACTTTGCTTTTGGACCAATCTTTAGCAGGTCAGAGAGTAGCTCCCCTCGCCGGGAGAGGAAGAAGAGCTCTAAGAAGAAGAAACACAGGTATGAAGTTATGCAGCACAGATGCACTTGGAGTGGTGTGGGGAAGATCTGATGGTCAGTCCTAGTGGTTCATACTTTTTTCTCCCCGCACCCCCAGGTCAGAATCAGAGTCCAAGAAGCGGAAGCATAGGTAAGAGTCTTGGAATCCTAGGGAGTGTTGTGGCATATGTGAGGGCACTGAACTTGATGGTCTCGATTGTGTTTCAGTGGCCTTTGGAAGGGTCCCTTCTTTTGAAGTAAAGCTTCAGGGATGCTCAGTGCATAGCTCAATTCCTCATGCCAGATTCTCTGTTTCCTTCCCTGTGTGTCAACACTTTACTTTATCTCCCAGGTCTCCTACGCCAAAGAGCAAGCGTAAATCTAAAGACAAGAAGCGGAAACGGTGAGTGGATTTATGTCAAATTGGTAAGGATGCACTTGGTGAATAGAATTCCATGGGTGGGGTGGGGAGATGTCGCCCTGTTCCTGACTGGTAGGAGGTCGAAGACTCTGTAGGTGTTTGGTTTCCTTGTGTAGGTGTGTTAATACCCTAAACTGTGCTGAATTTGGATTTTAGGTCTCGAAGTACAACCCCAGCCCCCAAGAGCCGCCGAGCTCACCGGTCTACTTCTGCTGACTCAGCTTCCTCCTCTGATACGTCGCGCAGTCGGTAAGGGGTGGTCCAAGAGGAAGGGGGGAGAGGGACTGATGGGTTAATCAATTTAATATTTATTGCGCGCCCACGGTGTGCTAGGCGCTGCACAGACCATTCGGAAGACACGGTCCCTGCCCTCTAGGAGCTGACAGGCTACAGGATGGACAGACATATACATTTCCCCTTCTCTTTTTATTTCTTTGTTGATTTTGTTATTTTTTGTTTTGTTCTGATGTATATGGACTGCCAGAATAGGGGATGGGTTGGGGGGAGCTTGTTCGTGGTGTCTGGGGGAGGAAGGAACCCTTACCTTGGCTTCCTTAATCGGGGAAGGCTTCCTGATGGAGGTGGGCTCCGAGGTGAGTTGTGAATGAGGCGGGTAGGGAATGGACTGGGTGGAGGGCATGGGAGGTTTGGGCAGAGGGAGAGTTTTCTCTGGGGTTGTGTTGGGAAGAGAAGGACCAAAGTGGACTGGACTTGAATTTCTGTGGAAATGATCAGTCTGTGACTAAGGCAGCTTTTTGGAAGAGGGTTAAACAGCAGAGGTGGATGGGAGCTGGGGAGGGGATTTCTCGTCTACTTCCAGCTGATTTCCTCCTTCCCTGCCCCCTCCTCAATTCCACCTTCAGGTCTCGAAGTGCTGCAGCAAAAACCCATGCTACTGCCCTGACTGGGCGTAGCCCTTCCCCTCAGTCAGGGCGCCAAGGGAAGGGAGATGCACCTTGCGGGGAATCTGGTTCCACCAACCCTGGGCAGCCGAGTAGCCCAGAGCCCTCCACAAAGCCGATGAGGAGCCCTTGTGAAGACAAAGACAAAAATGAGGTACGTTCCTGACTTTAAACAGTTTTCATTGAATTGGGTGGGAGTGGGGAGAGGCTTAAGACACGTGGAGGGAGAGGGAAAGAGAAAATTCAGTTTTTATTTTGTTGGAACCTTTTTTTCTTTTTCCAAGTTACACATTGGTATTTACTACAAATGCCTTCAGAATTTTCACTTTCAAGCTTCACTACATAAAAGTTTTGTGTCAGTGTACATATTGTTGGAGCAAAAACTTCTTTAAGCTGTGTTGTGTCACTAAACATTTACAATCATCGGGGTTACTGCCTACAGTCTGAAATTATTTTGGGGATCATCTTTTAAGTAGTTGTGTTCCTTTGTGCTCTAGTCATTTTTGCTTCTAGGAACTTTCAAGCATTTAAGGTGCTTTCTGCTAAATTTGTTTCCTTAGACCTCGCTCACTCGTTGTCCAAAGATAACCTTTCCAGACTTCACGTGGGATCACCTCAGAAAACTCCACTTTGTTTTTGAATTCTACTTAACGACCTTAGAATTTGGTCTGAGATTTTTTTTTCTTTCCTGTGCTCCAATCATCCTGGTCTTCTTTCCCATTATTTAAAGAAGGCATGTTTTTAAACTTTTGCCTTTGTTCTCACAGGCTTTTTTTGTTTTGTTTTGTTTTTTCATTTCAATTTAGTTACCTATTCACAAGTGTGAAGTCAGATGCTTTGGGAAATTTTGTTTACCTTTCCACTTAATAACTGTTTTCTTTTTGTTGTAACAGCGTTGTATAGCGGTGCTTGTACAGTATGTGTTAGCTTGGATGTATACTTATGTTTGGCTACAGTAAAAACCCCTTGGGGTGAAGGACTGCTTTTGTGGTTTCCAGACCATATTTTATATTGTGTGATCCTTTGTTACCAATTGAATGGTACTGGTTTGGGAAGAATGATGCCAATTGGGACATTGGGGACATGGGGAAAAGTTTCATTGGATAAGGGTATATGGGGATGATGGGGGTGGTGAGTTTTGGTGCTTATGTCTCCCTATTCCTGCTTTCTCTTCCCCTCTTAGAAATCTGCAGCTCGACCTAGCCCCTCCCTGGAGAGGAGCAGCACAGGCCCAGAACCGCTCCTTGCTGAGCAGCATGGCAGCTCCCCACCACCCCTTGCAGCACCCCCCTTAAGTCAGGAGCCAGTGAACCCCCCAGCTGAGGCCTCCCCAACCCGGGGCCGTTCACCACCTAAATCTCCTGAGAAGCTTCCCCAGTCGTCTTCCTCAGAGAGCTGTCCACCATCCCCTCAACCTACCAAAATTTCGCGGCATGCCAGCTCTTCCCCCGAGAGCCCAAAACTTGCACCAGCCCTTGGGTCCCGCCGAGAGATTTCCTCTTCTCCCACCTCAAAGAGTCGCGTGCATGGCAGAGCAAAGCGGGATAAATCACATTCACCTAGTCCTTCCCGTAGGCTGGCAAGGTCCCGTAGCCCTGTTGCCACCAAGAGGGGGAGATCCCGGTCTCGGAGCGCTGCCAAGAAAGGCCAGTCTCGGTCCCGGTCCCCTCAGTGGCGTAGGTCTCGTTCTGTGCAGAGATGGGGGCGCTCTAGAAGCCCCCAGCGACGTGGCCGCTCTCGATCTCCTCAGCGCCCAGGTTGGTCCAGGAGCAGAAATACCCAGAGAAGAGGCAGGTCTAGGTCAGGAAGGAGGGGCAGGTCACATTCTCGGTCTCCAGCCAACCGGGGCAGGTCTCGGTCTAGAACCCCTGCCCGGCGGGGCAGGTCCCGGTCTAGAACCCCTGCCCGGCGGAGATCTCGATCCAGAACCTCAACCAGACGGAGGTCCCGTTCTAGAACACCAGCCCGGCGGGGTAGGTCTCGTTCTAGAACTCCTGCTCGACGGAGGTCTAGGACGAGATCACCCATACGGCGCAGGTCTCGTACTAGATCGCCAGCCAGGAGAGGGGGCAGATCACGCTCTAGAACCCCAGCCAGAAGAGGCAGGTCAAGATCTAGATCGCCACCGAGGCGCAGTGGCAGGTCTCACTCTAGGACACCAACCCGGCGAGGGAGGTCTCGTTCTAGGACACCAGCAAGGCGAGGGAGGTCCCGTAGTAGAAGTCTAGCTAGGCGAGGAAGGTCTCACTCTAGAAGCCCACAAAGAAGAGGCAGGTCTGGCTCATCAGAACGGAAGAACAAGGCCAGAACATCTCAGAGAAGGAGCAGGTCCAACTCTAGCCCAGACGTGAAAAGGTCTCGCATCTCTTCACGGCGTAGCAGGTCTCTCTCTTCACCAAGACCCAAAGCAAAATCTCGCTCGTCTTTGAGGCGAAGCCTTTCAGGGTCCTCTCCATACCCTAAACAGAAGTCGCAGACGCCACCAGGACGTAGCCGCTCAGGATCATCTCAGCCTAAAGCAAAATCGAGAACACCCTCGAGACGAAGTCGTTCTGGTTCTTCACCTCCTACACAGACCTCTGGACCACCACCAAGGCAGACATCTGCAGCCAGTCCCCAGGCAGTCGAACAGTCTGCAACTCCACAGAGGCGGAGTCGATCTGGGTCATCTTCCCAACCTGGAGCCAAGTCTACACCACCCAGGCAGAGCCGTTCCAGATCCCCAGCAGACATGGAGGGGAACTTCCCTCCACAGCCCAAAGCGAAGGTGATGACTTCACCAAGACGAAGCCATTCTGGCTCCTCTTCTCCAAGTCCTAGTAGGGTGACTTCTAGAACACCACCAAGGCAAAGTAGATCAGTGTCACCCTGCTCCAAGATGGAATCTAGATTGTTGCCAAGACAGAGCCATTCTAGGTCCTCCTCGCCAGATACCAAAGTGAAACCTGAAACACCACCGAGACAAAGTCACTCGGGGTCTATGTCACCATGCTCCAAAGCCAAGCTACCAACTTCACCGAAGCAATGTCTTACTGGAGCAAAGTCACCAGGTCCACAAGAGAGCTTTAAAGACTTAGCAGCACCAAGTAGCTTTAGTGAGAGTGGCCTAGGCCCCTCCCTGCTGCAACAGAAAGAACAATCTCCAACCCTGCCAGACCACCCATCTGAAGTTTCAAGTCCAGGAGGGGGACAGGGTCCCTATGAATCGCTATCTCTGCTGTGCAAATCTCAAACATCTAAGGGTAGTCGGTCCAGGTCCTCCTCTCCAATAGCTGATCAAACACCGAAACCTTCCACAAGTCCTGGCCTGAGATCAGGTACTTCTCCTGAGCAGAGAGCTCAGTCTGACTCCCTGCACCCTGGACTGAACTTTAAATCTCTTCTGATGCAGAGTACGTCAGCCTCTGCTCCAGAACCAAAAGAGCAAGTGAATTTACACCCTTGGGAGCATGCATCCTTCCCTATACCATCATCTCCTTCCGTGCAGGCTGGACCCATGCCCTCAGCAGTGCTCGGAGAAGCACCTACAACCCCCCCAACCAGGGAAACAAGTGGCCTTGTGCCATCTCCAGCGAAAACAGGCCAGACGAGTGTATTAGCTAAAGCCAGCCACGATGAGGAGTCAATGGAGGTGGTTGAGAAAGCTGAAGAAGACTCAAACCAGATCCTACCCCACTTGTCTCCAGAACTGAAAGAGGTAGAAGAAAGATGTGCTGAGCCTGTACCTCTTGACCAAGGCTCCTTGCAGGCCTCTCGGGGGTCAGAAGTCGTTCCTGCAGTGGCCTCAGCTTGGGTTGGGTCACACTTTTCTCCAGAGCATCAGGAACTGACTGTTCCTCCACCTAGGGAGGATAGCTTCAGATCAACACTAGAGTTTAGGAATTCAGGCTCTGTTACTACAGAAGTGAGTACTGGATTGTCTTCTGAGAATAAAGATGTGAATGGACCTTTCCATAATCCTCTGGAGGCAGACGCATCTCTAGAAGGGAAAGGACAATCCACAAAACCCTCTGGGCACAGCGTTTCTACCTTGTCCCCAGAGGAAGCAGAAAAGGCAGGAATATTGCATCAGAGTGGGTCTTCTCCTGTGCTTGATGCTCTACCAAGAACACCCTCAAGGGAAAGTAGTTCTGTGTCTTCTCCTGAAGTAAAAGACGGCTTACCCAGAACCCCAACTCAGAGAAGCAGGTCTGGGACCCCGTCTCGGCACAGCCTGTCTGGGTCCTCTCCCGGAACAAAAGATGCACCCGGGACGCCATCCAGGGGCAGAAGTGAGTGTGATTCTTCTCCAGAACCAAAGGTACTGCCCCAGACTCCCAGGGCAAGGAGCCGTTCTCCATCATCCCCAGAGCTCAACAGCAAATGTCTCACCCCCCAGAGGGAGAGGAGTGGGTCCGAGTCATCAGTTGAGCAGAAAGCCTTGTCCAGGACCCCCCTTGGGCAGAGAAGCCGGTCTGAATCTTCTCAAGAGTTGGATAGGAAGCCCAGTGCTTCCCCTCAGGAGCAGAGTGGCTCGGACTCTTCTCCAGATTCTAAAGCCAAGCTTAGAGCTCCACTCAGGCAGAGGGGCTGCTCGGGGTCCTCCCCAGAGGTAGAGGGCAAAGCTCATCCTTCTCCCCGGCGCAGCAGGTCTGGTTCCTCCCCTGAAATCATAGAGAAGCCAAGAGTGGCAACCAGGGCACAGAGTGGTTCTGACTCCTCTCCAGAACCCAAACCACCTGCTCAGCGGGCGCTGCCTAGACGGAGCCGGTCAGGCTCCTCCAGCAAGGACCGTGGCCCTTCACCAGATGGCAGCAGCAGTTCTGCGTCATCTCCAGAGCGCCCACTCACATCCAGAGCCACTCGAAGGGGCTGTAGGTCCTCCCCAGAGCTCAAGACAAAGTCCCGTACACCACCTCGTAGGCGCGGCTCTCGTTCCTCTCCAGAGCTGACCAGAAAAGCCAGGCTCTCCAGGAGAAGCCGTTCGGCCTCCTCCTCACCTGAGGCACGCTCTAGAACGCCCCCGAGGCGCCGCAGGAGCCCCTCAGTGTCCTCCCCAGAACCAGCTGAGAAGTCAAGGTCCTCCCGCCGGCGGCGGTCCGCCTCAACCCCACGCACCAAAACTACTTCCCGGAGAGGCCGGTCTCCTTCTCCAAAGCCTCGTGGGCTCCAGCGGTCCCGTTCCCGTTCCCGTAGAGAGAGAGCCAGGGTGGCCCGGCGGCGTGATCGATCCGGGTCATCACAGTCCACCTCTCGGAGGAGAAGGCGTAGCCGATCAAGGTCTCGGGTGACTCGTCGCCGGAGGGGCGGCTCTGGCTACCATTCCAGGTCACCTGCCCGGCAGGAGAGTTCCCGAACCTCCTCCCGACGCCGCAGAGGCCGCTCAAGGACTCCCCCGACTAGCCGGAAGCGTTCCCGCTCTCGCACATCACCTGCCCCATGGAAACGTTCCAGGTCTCCAGCCACTCATCGACGGTCAAGGTCCAGAACACCCCTGGTCAGCCGACGGAGATCCCGTTCTCGCACCTCACCAGTCAGTCGGCGGCGGTCAAGGTCCAGAGCATCAGTGACTAGGCGCAGATCCCGGTCCAGAGCATCCCCGGTGAGTCGCAGACGATCTAGGTCCAGAACACCACTGTTGACCCGCCGACGGTCAAGGTCTAGGACCCCAGCGACGCGCCGACGTTCCCGTTCCAGAACGCCGCTGGTGACTCGCAGGAGGTCCAGGTCTCGGACCCCTCTATTGACTCGAAGGCGTTCTCGAAGCAGGACCTCACCAGTCACACGCAGAAGGTCAAGGTCGAGAACCTCCCCAGTCCCACGGAGACGATCTCGCTCTCGCACATCTCCAGTCCCAAGAAGGCGATCCCGCTCACGCACCTCACCAGTAACACGTCGCCGCTCTAGGTCTCGCACACCACTGCTGGCGCGCAAACGCTCACGCAGTCGCTCACCACTTCTCATCCGCCGCCGCTCTAGATCTCGCACCCCACGCGCCACTCGGGGCAAGCGCTCCCTGACAAGGTCTCCTCCAGCCATCCGCCGACGTTCTGCTTCAGGAAGCAGCTCTGATCGCTCTCGGTCAGCCACTCCTCCAGCCACAAGAAACCATTCTGGATCTCGGACGCCCCCTATGGGGCTTAGTGGTTCCAGAATGAGCTGCTTCAGCCGACCCAGCATGTCACCAAATCCTCTAGACCGCTGCAGGTCCCCTGGAATGCTTGAGCCCATGGGCAGCTCGAGAGCATCTATGTCCGTCTTGCAGCAGACAGGTGGCTCAATGATGGATGGGCCAGGGCCCCGGATTTCTGACCATCCGAGAACCTCATCTGTGCCTGAAAACCATGCTCAGTCTAGGATCGCACTGGCCCTGACGGCCATCAGCCTTGGCACCGCTAGGCCACCCCCGTCCATGTCTGCCGCAGGCCTTGCTGCCAGGATGTCCCAGGTGCCTGCCCCGGTGCCTCTCATGAGCCTCAGAACAGCACCAGCTGCCAGTCTTGCCAGCAGAATCCCCGCAGCCTCTGCTGCAGCTATGAACTTGGCTAGCGCCCGAACACCTGCCATCCCAACCGCTGTGAATCTGGCTGACTCTCGCACACCAGCCGCCGCCGCTGCCATGAGCCTGGCCAGCCCTCGAACAGCAGGAACCCCTTCAGCCGTGAGCCTTGCTGACCCACGTGCTCCTGCAGCCTCTGCAGTGAACTTGGCCGGCGCCAGAACCCCAGCGGCATTGGCAGCCCTGAGCCTTGCAGGCTCTGGCACAGCCCCAGCAGCTGCAAGCTATCCTTCCAGCTCCAGGACACCCCAGGCTCCATCCCCTGCAAACCTGGTGGGCCCCAGGTCCACACATGCCGCAGCTCCAGGGACTATTGCCAGCTCAAGAAGCTCAGCGGCCATGGCCCCCGCCAACCTCACCAGTGCTAGGATGGCCCCTGCCCTGTCTGGGGCCAACCTCACCAGCCCAAGGGTGCCCCTCTCTGCCTACGAGCGTGTCAGTGGCCGCACCTCGCCCCTGCTCCTTGACCGAGCCCGGTCACGCACACCACCTCCGCTTGCCCCAAGCCAGTCACGTGGGCCTTCCGAGCACGCAGCCTCTCCTGCTTCCAGAGCTGGCCATCTAGCCTCACAGGCGCTCCCCACAGCCCAGGAACGGCCCAGGTCCCCTGGCCTAGTTGCCCTCTCTGACCAGTCCCGGCCCATGCCTACCCCCATAGCTGGGTGTCAGGCCCTCTCCATCACTGGGGCAAAGGCTGCAGCCTCTGGTGACCACAACGGCATGCTCTCGGCCTCCATCTCTGGGGTCTTCCACCCTGAGGCTGGGGAGCTACCAGCCTCTAGCGGGGTTCCACAGCCCTCGGCTCTGAGCGTCCTACAGCCCACTAAGGAGCGACGTAGCTCCTCGTCATCATCGTCGTCCTCCAGCTCATCGTCATCATCCTCATCATCGTCCTCGTCTTCCTCATCCTCTGGCTCCAGCTCCAGCGACTCTGAGGGCTCCGCCATGCCCGTGCAGCCTGAGCCTACCCCAAAGAGGTGAGGGACCTTGTTGGTAGAGACCTGCTGGGGGAGCGGGGGTGGGGGGTGGGCAGGGAGTGGGGTGGTGTGGATGACATCCCAACAGGTGATGAGCTCTCTGAGGTGGTGTGGGGGACCTTGGCCCTGGAGCTCTGGGTAGAAGAAAATGGGGACCGGGTGGGGGTGGGACCGTGGACGTCTTGGAGCCGCCTTCCCTAGAGGATAATGATGAGTTTTCCGTCTCTACAGCGGACAACTAGAGGAAATGGACTTAATTTTACAGCAGGAGGGATGGCAGTTAGACCTCAAGAGGAACTCCCTGGGCTGGAAGGAACTTCAGAGGTCATCCCATCCCTCTCCCTGCCTCCAGGCAGGACGGCCCCTCCCCCAGCCAGCCTGCACAGGCCTCCCCAGCTGTCCATCCCTGAGCCCAGGGCCTTATTCTCCACCAGGGACCTTCTTGAGGTTTAACCTTGCTCCCTGATGCTGTGGGCCCAGCCTGTTGCTCAAATTAGCAGAGGTCGGGCTGCTGTTTGCGGGAGCATCACTGCCTCCCGACGCTCTCGAATCACCGAGCTCTCAGGCCCAGCCCCCCCACCCCCCCACGCCCACCGCCATTCCTCCAGGCCAAGGAAGGTAGGGTTGGGGCTAGGGCCTTTATCTCCTAGTGACCCAACTCTCCTCCCACAGGGTCCCCAGCCCTGTTCCAGCCCCAAAAGAGGCTGTTCGAGAGGGCCGCCCCCAGGAGCCAACTCCAGCCAAAAGGAAGAGGCACACCAGCAGCTCCAGTTCCTCCTCTAGCTCCTCGTCTTCTTCATCCTCTTCGTCATCCTCCTCCTCTTCCTCCTCCTCCTCCTCATCCTCGTCCTCCTCCTCCTCTTCCTCTTCCTCCTCCTCCCCTTCCCCTGCTAAGCCTGGTCCTCAGGCTTTGCCTAAACCTGCAAGCCCCAAGAAGGCCCCCCCTGGCGAGAGAAGGTGAGTGGTCCCTGCCTGATGGAGGGGGAGGTGACATAGAAAGAGGCCCCTGGGGCACCAGCTGCCTGCCAGAGGACATTGCTGTCTGGCTGCGTGGGAGGAGTCGGGTTCTCCTTCCCACCTGCTCTGCCCTCCCCCACCCCCTAGTCCACAGGCCCAGGGATTCTAGCTTTGGAATCTCCCCGGGGCTGCTGCCAGTTGGGACTCTGGTCCGGCCGCCGTCATCTTCTCCCCGACTCTGTCCACAGCCTTCCCCGTCTCCCTGCTCCACGCCACCCTCTTCCACACCTAGCCTGAGCGAGCTCTAAAACGCACATCGGGCTCCTTCCCTCCACTCCACACGCCCTTCCCGGACGCCCTGTGGCCTGCAGGACAAAGCCCCACCTCCGCGGGGATGGCTCCTCAGCAGCGGCCTTGCCACCCTGTGCGCCCCCGGCTCCTCAGCCTGCCCCCCACGCCCTGCAGTGCAGGGGCCACCCTGCTCCCTGGCCCATGCCTTTGGACATGCAGATCCTCGGCCTGGACGTCCCTTGTCCGCTGGTGGACACCTCGGTCTCAAGACTCCGCCCAGACAACACCTCCAAGACGGCTGCCCACCCCCCTCCCGACCCTCCAGACCCACAACAGCCCCCCTCGTACAGGGGCTGTCCCCTCACACATGGGCAAAACCTGCCCTTTTGTTGTCCCACCTCCTCAAGGGCAGGGCCTGTCTGCCTCTGCCTCCCCCGCTGCACCCTCATGCCCCCCCACATCCCCGTGCCCGACCTCGGGCGCTTGGATAGTGTGCTGGTGGACGGGTGAGTGAGCACGCACAGGTGGGTCTGAGGCTGCCCCAAGTGGCGCCAGGTGTGGTGACCAGGACCTGGGTGGGTGGTCTTGTGTGCTATGCTGGCTGCGGGTTCAGAGTGGCCTGGTACTATTGGGGACTTGCTCTGCCCCCCAGGTCTCGAAGCCCTCGGAAGCCTATAGACTCCCTCCGGGACTCTCGTTCCCTCAGCTATTCACCTGCAGAGCGTCGCCACCCGTCGCCACAGCCCTCCCCCCGGGACCAGCAGAGGTAGGTTGGGGGGGTGGGGATTGGCCTCATGCCCAAACCAGCATTGGCAGCTGCCCTAGGAAGCCACTGCTTTCTGGATAGCTTTTGTAGGGCTTCCCGAGGTTCATGGGAAAACAAATAAAAGCTAATGGGATTATTTGACCAGTTCTTGAAGCCAGCTTGCAGCAGTGTGGCCACTCTTGGCTGATTCTGGCATTGTGTCTTTGTAGAAGCAGCAGCGAACGGGCTTCCCGGAGAGCCCAGCGAGGGGACAGTCGCTCCCCGAGCCACAAGCGCCGGAAGGAGACGCCTAGTCCTCACCCAGTGCGCCACCGCTCCTCCAGGTGGGTGCCCCTCACACCCTTGGCTGGAACCTGGAGGGTGGTTGAGGGCAGCAGGGTCTCTGCACTGACTGGCTTCTGTCGACAGGTCTCCGTAAAAATCTCTTGGACTTCATGCCATCCATCACCTGGAGCAGCAGGGAGTATGTCCCGTCCCCACCCTCTTGGGGTCCTGCGTGCGAGCCCTGGCAGCGTCTTGCAAGGGGCTTACCTTAGAGCCCTTTCTTTTTCCCCCTTTTTGTTCCTGTGAAATGTTTATTTTTTGTGAGTTTTTTTCTAGTTTGAGTTTTTCCTAGTTTGTGTGCTTGGGGGATTTGGGTGGGAGGGGTTGGAAATGGGAACTTGGGGGACCCCCTGCCCTTATTGGGGGGGTGCTCTTCCCTCCCCCCTTCACCCTAAGTTCCTGCAGGGTGTGGGGGTCTGAGACTTGATTTCTCAGCTGCAAGTGGTTCCTGGAACTGGTGGGAACGGGGCAGAATTAAAATCACTTACCAGTTGGCCCCACCCTACGGACCCCCAGTGAGGTGGTGGCCCCCCCTTCCCCCAACTTTTCATGTTTCTTAAAGGCATTTTGGTTTTTTAAAATCTGTACAGCAAGAGCAACTTTTTTCTGTCCAATAAAACAGAAACTGCATGTGTTGTCTGTGGGTGCTTTATTGGGGAAACGACCTCATTTGAGGACTAACCCTACCCACTGGAAGCGGGACACAGGCAAACGGGGAGGATGTGATGATAAAGAAGGAGCCAGACTGGAAACCCAAATCCCTTTATTTGGAAGAAGTGGGCTGGGGGCAGGTGGCCCTCACTGCACAGCCTGCTCGTTGGCACTGCTTCCCGAGTCCTGTGGCTTCATCACGTCGGGGAGCTCAGGCGGGCTGGAGAATGGCTCGATGCGGAGGGCCTCAAATGTGTCATCTAGGGTTAGGGACAAAGTCAACACACCTAGCCTCTGCCTTCAGCCTGGGGGGTGGGGGGAACTACCCGCCCTCAGCCCTGCTCACCAACCACCCTCCCTGGCATAATAAAACTGCCCCTGCCACTGAGAAAGTAGACGGTAAAGATGGAGGCTGGGTGTAAGGATCTGTAAACTGCCCGGAAAGTAAAGCTTTTATAGTGGGTATCAGCTCTGCCACCTCTACAGGACAGAGTAGAAACTCTCACCATGTAGAAAGCCTCATTTTTCTCCCATGGAGAGGCTGGTGGCTTCTAAGCATCTGTTGGAGAAGCCATCCCACAGTTGTCAATTGTCTTGTGGGGAAGACAACCCTGGAGGCTGGCTGCCTGAAGACCCTCTCCCTGGCTGTGGCCAGAAACCAGCTGTGTGCCCTTACCTGCCCGGAAGGCCAGCCCCACTGTGGCTGGGGCCTGGGGACGTGCAGTCTGGCTGGTGAAGCCACATTCACCCAGTGTCTTGCTGTCCTCCAGGAGCTGGTCGTCCTTAAGGAGACAAGGAGGGGCTCGCCAGGAGAGGCAGGTCCCTGGGCCAGCTGCCCAAGTGGCTCAGAAAACCCACAGATTCCAAGACAGTGCTCACAACCTTACAAAGCCAGACCAGAGGCTGCTGCTCCTGGGCCCCGGAAGCCCCTTGCGCTGGTGGGAACAGGCCCACCTGGGTCCCGATCCTAGGCCCACCACTCCCACTGCCTGTTGACCTTGGACAAGGTGATTTGCTATTGTGGAACTCATCTGTTTAATGGGAGTTAACTGGAACTCCCAACAAGGCACCAATTTGGACGGCAGGACATAGGCAGTGGGGAGGGAAGGCCACAAGAGTCTGGGGTGGTAGCGGGACAACTACTGAGGTCCTGTGGGGAGAGGGACAGGGTGGTGAAAAGGCCAATCTCCCAGTTCCCAGCTACATCAGTGCGCCAGGTGATGACCTGGCCTGACGCATTTGATTCGGCAATGACACCGGAATCTACTATTGCAAAAATCCCTGGGTTTGGAAGGTGGCTTTGGCAACATTGGCAAAAGGTGGAGGGCAGAGGAAACGCGCTCCGGGTGAACTGGTGGGGTCTGATTTAGGCACCTCCCCTTCGGGGGTGTCTTTTCCGCGTGGGGCTTTTATTTCGCATACTCGAGGCCTCTTCACGCAGGCGTGTTTAGGGCGCACGACTGGCATTTGACGGGCTCTCGGAGTGCGTTAAGAATATCGGGGTTGAACAACGACCTTGGGGGGTAGGAGCCCCCGGCAGCGCAGAAGGACCGTTGCGCGGAGCGCAGGGCCTGGCGCGCGCATCTGGAGCATCCTCGCCCGAGACGTCAGCGGCACTGATCCACTGCCTCGGCTTCGGATACGCGTGGCCCCGGCGCGCCGCTGTGGGGACTAGTGACAGGCCCCGCGGCGCCGCACCCTGGCTTTCTGAACCCCGGCCGCCGGCCCTCCCGTCCGCACCTTATACAGACGCTGCTCGTCCGGTGGCCGCTTAAGGATGCCCTCGACGATGCGTTTCAGCTCGAACACGGTGCTCGACTCCTTGGCGTCGGTGAAGATGGTGGTCTTGTGGCGCCGGATCATTAGGAACACGTCCTGCGGGCGACCGGCCGGCGTGAGCGCGGCCCACGGGCCCCCCGC